CCGCCCGCCCTGCCCCTCAGGAACGCGGGCACAGGCTCTTCCTAGTGGTCCCGGGGAGGAGGCGGGGGTGGCACATGGGGTACCCAGACCAGAGGACCCCCGCCCGCTCCCCACGTGGCGCGCGACTCAGCCACGTGTGCTGGGTGACGGCAAGGACCCTGTGACTGTCACTTTACAAGCAATTAAAAAGAACCACTGAAGATCTGTCCTGGGCTTCATCTGTGACGGACGCAGCATCTGATGGCTCCCGGCCCGGCCACCGGGAGCAGACGCCGCGCCTCAGCGGCCTTTAGGGGGAAGCGCCCCCCACGGCCCTCGCTGAGCATCCGGGGGTGCAGCTGAAGAACAGCGAGATCCACTGTGTTTGTCGCCTGCAGACAGGGGACAGGGACGTCTGTGGCCTGGGAAGGGGCGGCCGGGCGCACGTGATCTTGATTTGGTTAGTAAATAAGTTTGTGTTAAAAGCCACACAGTTAAAATTGGTGCTTCACTATGTAAATGTGAGTCCCCAAGAAGAACGCGGGTGGCCCGACCCGGTGGCCCAACCCGGCGGTAAGGCGCTTGGTTGACGGGAAACAGAAACCAGCCGACAGCTGGGCTCATTTGCAGTTTCCCCGGGTCTGCGGTCGCCTGCAGCTGGCCATGTGCAGCTGGCCCCTCCAGAGGGGGCTGGGCCAGGCGGAGGAGGGGCCTGGGAGGCGGTGGCCCAGGGACACTGCCCGCCTGGTGCCCTCTGCGGGGACTCACTCGAGGCTGGGCCTCATCTCCCAATCTGCAGAAGGGGACTGAAAGCGCTTCCTCTGCCCGGTGGACGGTGTGCCCTCTGCGGGGACGCGGGGTCCCACCGGAGAGCCCCGCGGGAGCGTCTTTGTTCGCCACAGGACAAGCCACTGGCCAAACTGCCCCCCCACCCATCAGAGGGAGGGGACCGGGCTGCGAGAGGCCAGCCCAGGTCCCGGGGGACGGTGGCAGCTCTGTGGTTACAGAAGAGCCGTGAGAGCCACCAGGTCCCCAGGGCCGGGCTTAGACCCTCCGATGCCTGCTGAAGTGCAGGACCCCAGGCCGCAGGGCCCTGGGCTGAGGGAACGTCACTGTCCAGCGTGTCTCTGAACCAGGGCCTGCCACCCAGAAGCCCTCGGGTTGGCGCCACTGTCCCCAACCTGAAGGAAGCGGTCAGGCAGCACGAGAGCTGACATTGCTCTCTGTACTTGCCACCAGGGTTGAACTCGGGGACACGGGCGCTGAGCACCTCCCCAGCCTGTGTCAGAGTCAGGTCTCACCCAGCGGCTGAGCGCCTCGCGTTGCGGAGCTGGCTTTGAACTCGCCGTCCTCCAGCCTCGGCCTCCAGCCTTGGCCTCCTGAGCCACTGGGATCCCAGGCATGTGCCACCGCGCACGGCCACAGCTGGCACTCTTGTCCCCAAATGGAAGTCCCCGTCTCTCAGAGGGACAGCCGGGGCTGAGGGAAGTGAACTGACCTCCCCCAGGGGAGGGCCACCGGGGGACGCAGGCCTGAGGTCCTTCCGATTCTCCTGGGGACCACTCCCCAGCTCCTCCGGTTTCTCTAAAACCCGCGGCCTGGGAGGCTGGGCAGGCCTGGCCGGAGGCCGTCCTTGTTTTCTGGCTGAGATTGGGTGGAGGCCCTGGGTCCTGGGTGTCTGCTGCGCTGACCAGGGAGGGGGAGCACCAGCACCCTGAGGGGACCCACTGTGGCTCCCGCCACCAGCCCAGCCACCTGGGGATCAGGACCCTCCCAGCCCAGAATCCACCAGCCACCTCCTCACGACACAGATGAGGAGCCCAGCCCAGAGACGCCCATGAACCGCCCGAGGACACACAGTAAGTGGTGGAGGGAAAGCCGGCAGGCGGAGTCCCCAGAAGCACTTGATCTCCTTCCCAAACCAGCTGCCAGCGTGGGTCGGGTAACAAGCAGGCCACCCGGCGGCCCAGGCAGCAGCCGACCGTCTCTGGGTTCGAGAGGCCTGCGGGTGGCAGGGCTGGTCCTGGTGAGACCCTGGGGGACCCATCCCCGCCGTCCCTCCCTCCAGGAGCTCCCTGGGACCCGCGGTCCTCGAGGCCTCCACGAGGACCCCCCTTGCCTCTGCCCGTCCCCCGAGGACCCCCCCCCGACCTGCCTCCTCTTGGAGGATGTGGGGTCACGGCTCGCGCACATCTGGGACCCCGAGATGTCACACGGCAGAGACCCCGTGGGCCCCCTCAGGGCGGGCAGGAAAGAGGAGGAGCCATGGGCCGTGAGCGGGCAGGGCGGACAGGAGAGGGGTCACACAGGACGGGCGCAGCAGCGTTTCTGGGGCCAACCGCGGCTGCAGGCTGGCTGCGCCAGGCCCCTGCTGAACCCCAGCCGCGCCCCTGGTCACAGGCACCTCCTGGAGCGGGGTCTCAGCGTCCAGCCTCGGTTCCAGTTCCCGGGACAGAAACCTCATGGCGGCCTCCGGACCTGTGCTGGGGACTGTCCCCTCTGCCGGAAGGGGCAGGGACTGGCTGGCCCTTCTCTGCTCAGTCCAACTGTGGCAGGCCTGCCTTCCCCGCCCAGCCCCTGGGCCTCTGCTGGCCACCTCTGCCTCATGGACAGACAGACGGGCGTCGGTCCCTCCATCTGAGCGCAGGGTAGCACCCCCTAGAGCAAGGCCAGCGCGTCCCAGCTCCACCAGGCTTACCGCGTGAGTGACGCCGCGCACTCGGGAAGACGAGCTTTCGCTGGTGGTCAGTGGACGGGGCTCAGACGTGGGCAGCACCCAAGGTTGACGGCAGACCACGGTCCCCAGGAAAGTCTTTCCCTGGGGACAGGGTCCCATGGTGTCCCACAGCTTCTCCGTGAGGACGGGGTTAATGAAGACTCAGCACTTGGTATTAAGTGTCGTCTGGCCACTGTGCCCATGAGGGACACTAAGCCACAGGAGGGGGAGGTGGCCACTTGGATCTTGCAGTGTCAGGTATA